CATAAGTTGGCTTTTCTTTTCTGAAATTGATAAGCTGATCCTAAAATTCATAAGGAAATTCAAGGAACCCAGAATAGCCAAACAACAAAACCTGGAAAGAGAAATACAAAGTTGGTGGATGCATTCTTCCTGATTTTAAAAATTACTATTAAACTGGAGTAATCAAAACAGTGTGGTAGTGGCTTGTGGACAGACATATATACAATGGAATAGAATAAAGAATACAGATAGGGACCATTACATTTCTGGTCAATTGATTTTTCAATCAGAGTGGCAAGACAGTTCGATAGGGAAACAATAGTGTTCTCAACAAACTGTGCTCCGTGTGTACATGGGAGAGAATGAAGCTGGACCCTTATTCTCTTCTCAAAAATGCACCTAGAATGCATCAAAGAACTAAATGTAAAGCTAAAACTATAAAATTCTTAGGCAGAGATCTTTGTAGCCTTGGGGGAGGCAATGGTTTCTTAGATATGACACCAAAGACACAAGCAACCAATTTGGACAAATTGGACTTTGTCAAAAATTAAAACTTTTGTGGTTCAAAGGACACTACCCAGAGAGTGAAAAGATAACCCACAGGATGGGAGAAAATATTTGCAAATCATCCATCCGATAAGGCACTAGTGTGTGTAAAGAACTCTTACAATATAATAAATAATAGGAAGAAAAAGAAGCCAATGTAAAAATAGGTAGAAGATTTAGATAGACAAGTGGCCAATGAGCAGCTGAACATTACTATTCTTTAGGGGAATGTAGTGAAAACAGCACTGAGATTCCATTCACCCACTAGGATGGCTACAGTCAAAAGTATGGACAATAATAAGTGTTGACAAAGATACAGAGAAGCTGGATACCACTCACATTGCTGGGAGGAATGTAAATGATACAGCCCTGTGGAAACGTTTGTCAGTTCCTCAAAAGATAAACCGAGTTAATGTAGGACCCAGAAACGCCACTCTTAGGTATTTATCCAAGAGAAATGAAAATGTTCTTTTGCAACAAGACTCGTACACCAGTGTACATTGAATTATTAGCCTCAAAATGAAATACCCAAAGCTCTACCAACTGATGAATGGATAAATAAAACAGCTACACAATGCAACATTATTCAGCCTTAAAAAGAGAGGAAGTACTGTTAATTATATAACACAGATGAACTTTGAAAGCATTATGCTAAACAAAAGAAACAAGTTGCAAAAAGCCACATATTGTCTGATTCCATTTATGTGAAATGTCCAGAATAAGCAGATATCTAGACATAGGACTTAGCTTCGTAGTTGCTAGGGACTGGAATGGAAAGTGAAAGGAAATGGAAAATGACTACGACCCATGGGGTTTCTTTTTGGAGTGATGAAAATGTTCCGGAATTAGTGGCGATGGTTTACAATTTTGAGAAATATTAAAAACCACTGAACTGTTGCACTTCAAAACAAAGAAATGTTCAACAGCTGAATTCAGAGAAAACCAATATGATGGATGAATTCCTGGGAATCTCTTACCTTCCCCAGCTCTTGTTTCTTATGTGACTCACCACTTCCAAGTTTCTGCAAGAGGGCTTCTTCATTTTGGCCAACAATAGCAGCAGTGATAACCCCCCTGGCTTTAATCAGGCCCAAAGGATGCCTTGTAGCCTCAGACCATCCTGTCCTATTTAGAGCAGCAGTTCTCCAGGAGCCTCAAAGGTTTTGATTGCCTGGTAAACCTGTTTCCAGATGTCCTTTTGGCCTTGAGGGTAGGACATGACCACATGACTGGGTCTCAGACATACCTTCACTCATAAATGCAGGACACTAGTGACCAGAGGTTTTTCTGTCTGGGACTGGTCAACTTAGTGCACTCTGGGGCATCTTTTTACTATCCAGAACCATTTTGGACTTACTGAGATACAGCAAGAGCCCTTCCTAGAAGCTTCAGATCCGCTCTCATCACAACACACTTTCTTCTTCTATTTCTTCCACAGTGCAGCACAAACACAAGCATATATGCATGCATACAAACACACATATACACACAGAGGCACACATGTATACACACACACACACACACACACACACACACACACACCAGTATAGTCTAGATGTTTTGGGGAAAGATACGTATTGCAATGTCTGTGTTCAGCATTTATGAATTCAGTACAAGATCTTCAGTACTGTGGAGACAGAAGGTGGTGTCATCTTTGGACTCAGAGGCATTGCCACTGGTACTGTGACACACACTCAGGATGTCACTCCAGTCAGTCCCTGCTCGTTGGGAAGCCAGAAGGATGTTGGGGGGGTCTGCACATTCATGTCCTGGAACACTGGGTGCACACGCAGCAGAGGTGGGGTCTGTTAGCATCTGTGCCACATAAATGCCCTGGTCTCTGCTGTTTCCTGAACAGTTCCATCCTTGGAGCTTGCTCAAGATCAAGGTGATGGTGACTCTCAGTAGATTTTCTGATCAGGGTCACAGCCTCCCAGGAGCCCTGGAGTTGTGGAAGTTTGGGCCTCAGAACTGACTGGGATGCTGTCATCATGCATGTCTTTGTGTGAAAGCTCTGGGAATGTCTCATGGCTCTGACCATTAAAAGTGAATGTGTGGACTCTGAGCCTCATTTATTTAGGCCCTGAAAAATATCTGCTACATACAGTCCCCTTTTGGGATGAATCTATGGGTCACCTCTTCAGGCAGCATAAGGCGACATAGTCCAGTCCACCTTTGATGAAGATCCTGGCTTTAGAGTGTTTCACCACCTCCATATTCAATTGCAACAAAATGCCATTTAACGTACAATGTGGATTCCTTGATCTTGTTCTACTGTGGTCACTTTCTGTGCTGCCCTCATGTCCTGTGCCAATTGGTCAGTGATGTGGCTAATCCTGAGATGTTTGTCTTATGAGATGCTTCACAAAAGGTGCACTTAATAAACACTTTTTTCATATGTTGCATTGCCTTTTCTCTGCCTTCCAAGAACAATAACCACAGATGGTGGCTTGATGGTGTCCGGTTCCCTGACAGAGCTTCGGGGTCATCTGTCTGCTAATGACAGGTGTGTGGTCTGTGCTGGGGGCAGAAGTGGGACCTGGTCCCATTCTCTGGAGTTCCAGGTGCACTCATTTGTCTGTTGGAAGATGCTCTAGGACCCTGGAACAAACCTCTTATGTGAGATACTCAAACCCACCATGGGCCAGCATCTAACTCTGGAGATTGTAGGATTCTATACTGTTACCTTGAAGAGACCTTAAGGATATCAGCCTTGAGACCACAGATGGATCGGTGTTAAAATGTAGATTTCTGGGCCTTGTTACTGAGTCAAGTTCAGGAGCAGAGGCCTTGAAATCTGTATTTTAGACAAAGGTGCCTGATGGTCATACAGCACTTACGAGAAACGGATTGTTTCCATCACACCTGTAAGTGTGCTGCATGTGTCTACTGCCTCTCAGGGGGTTCCTGGAGGGGAAAGAACTCTTCAGACATACACACATCTCAGACGTGTCATTCTGTAGTTCTATGACCTTCACAGGTAATCGAGCACCTACCATAGTCTGCCCTTAGAGAAAGAGTGGGCTTGAAAAACTGGAGTCCTGGCCCAGTGCAGTTGTACATGTACGAAGATGGGGAAAATCTCTGCACCCAAGATTCCAAATCTGAAAGTGATGGCCTAACGATTTTCAGGGTTGTTTGACAAGGCAGGAGGACATAAGTAATGTGGGTCTTAATCCTTCTCAGTCCACCTGAGAATGTGGGTGGGCTCAAGGGGAAAGCACAGAACAGCAGCTGGAACCACAGAGCTGACACTGGCTACCTGTGCACCTTTTGACAACTCTGCTGACCTCTCTGAGCTATAACTTTCTCCTCTGCAAAAACAAGAGTTGAATGATGAGGTGTTTAGGGGTAAAATATACTGATACCTGCAACTTACTTAAACATTAATCATTGATGGGATTGTAGATGGATGAAGGGATGGATAGATGGATAGGTACAGGACAAAGCAGTGGCAGTAAAATGTTAATCAAAGCTCCAACATAGACACATGTTCCCTTTCAATATTTTCTGTGTTCGAAAATTTCATAAGATGTTAGAGAAGACAGAAACAGGCAAGATTTTAAAGCTGAAATGGACAATAGAGATTATTTTATGAGTGATATAACTGAAGCCAGAGACAGCAGCTAGGAACAGAGGGAGGGCTAGAACTGGGGCTGCCTGTATCCTGACTCCTAACCCACATGTGGTCCACTTCACCACACTGCCCCCCAAGACCCGTTGGGCTTGTGCCCAGGCAACAATGAGGTCTCTGCAAATTTGCAAAGTGCTGTGGAGCCTTAAGTGAGTGTTGACTCATTTTATGACTCTTAAATGAGTGTTGCAAGAAAAAAAAGAAGAAAGGGTCAGATAAGATTGGGAGATAATGTGGCCTAAATAGATTTCCTTACCACAGAATCTGTGAGAACTTTTAATGTGCTAATTTCTTTTGAAAGTTTCTGAATACAACATTTCTCAATAACATTGGCCACTGGAGGCCATCCTCTCCTCACCTTTTGTATTTGTTTGTTTGTTTCAGGACTAAAATCTGAAGGACATACTTGGGAAAGGCTGCTGGTTTTGTGTGTGGCTTTGCTTTGGGAGTGCAGGAGAGCTGGGACGTGCCCATTCTAGTCCTTTTAGTCCCATGGCCATTACACACAAGCACACATTGGAGCTTTTGCCCTCACCACATCTCTTAGGGCTGAAGAGATGCCAAGGGACAGGGCCAGCTAGGTCAAGGGCTAGTGTTGGGTGAGCCAAAGCTGGGGGGAGGGGGGAAATGGGACAGAGGGGCCCAAGGCTAGGCCCTGTCCTCCTCAATACCCAGGAAGGGTCATTACCCTGACAGCCCAAAGGCCACTTTCCTCTGTTGGTGCCCATTAGCTGTCTCAAGGATGACAGAAGTCCTTTGGAAATAATCTCCCATGAACATGGGGGAGCAGATGTCCAGCAAACAATTGGAATCCTAAGACAAATGTCACTTGGTTCTGGTCTTTTGATTTGGCCCAGCAGAGGAACAACCCACTTTCCCCATTTGTGCTTCTCAGGGCAGTGAAACTTTTGGAGCTGGTGAGGATGGATCTGTGCCAACCTATGGACACAAAACTCAACACCCTCAAGATGCAGTGGAAACCCTTTATTGGAGCACCCTCCTCACGCCAACAGTCACTGCTTGCTCTCTCAGGCGTGGGTGGACAGGTCAGTCCCATGGGAACTGATGCTGGTTTATGCTGTACAGTACACATGGACGCAAAGACTTGCAGTAGCTGCCTCTTAGAAAACTGTCTTCCCTCGGGCCGGGTCAAAGGACGTCATGGTAGGGCTGGAGTGGAGCTGGGGTGAAGTGAGGGCCTCTACTTCTGCACTGGGCTGATTTTTCTGTCCAGCGGTCTACACTGTGCGCTCCCGTCTTGGGGGAAAACCCCATCGCCCATGGAACAGTATCAGAGGACCAGTCTGGCCTGACCTCCCCCTGCCCTGCCACCCTCGTGACCCCACCTGGCTTTAGATTTCCTTCCGCAGCACCACCTTGATGCTGCTGCAGACCTGGCCCAGGGCGGCGAAGAGCGGGTTGCAGAAGGTGCGGATGCACAGGGAGTAGATGTGGCTGATGCACTGGATTTCGATCAGGTAGCTCTTAATGCATGGCACCACTGCCCAGATGTGGCAGAAGGAGATGCAGGCAAACAGGAAGCCCCAGATCAGGGCCAGCGGGACACCCAGCAGTGTAGACAGCAGGCGGTAGCACCAGTACTTGGAGACAGTGAAGGTGGTGTAGCTCACCTTCCACACGCCGTCGAAGCTGTAGGTGCCCACGGGCTCTGCGATAACATCTTCAAAGTCCACCTGCAGGGGCAGGAAGGGGAATCCTCAACTCACAGCAGTCTTGCATTTCTCAAGCTTTTGTATGTGTGCATCAGAATCCCCTGGGGGCTTGTTGAACCCAGAGGCCTAAACCCCATTTCTGGAAGATGCTGACACAACAGGTCTGCATGGGGCCCAAGACTTATTTCTAATAAGTGTCCCCAGCCATGCTGACTGGCCTTGTCCTTGAGCAGGCAGGCACAACAAAGAGCTTGTCAAATGCCTGCATTCCGTGAATGGATAAGCAGTCCCAGAAGCTGAATTGACTGGCTTAAAGCAGTGTTAGAGCCATGGCTCCCACTGTAGTTTGGATTTGCAGTGTTCCCCAAAAGCCCACATGTCAAAAGGTGGGGAGGCAGTGGAAACTTTAAGAGTTGGGGCCAAGCAGGAGATCTTTAGGTCATTGGGGGTGCATTCTAGAAACAGATTGTGGCCCCCCTTCTCTGTCCTTACTCTCTGACCATGAGGTGAATGGTTTTGTTCTACCACACACTGCCACCATGATGTGCTGCCTTTCCACAGGACCAAAAGCAACCTACCAATTATGGGCTGGAACCTCTAAAACTCTGAGGGAGAATAATCCTTTTCTCCTTATAATTCTTTTATCTCAGTCATTTGTTATAGTGATAGGAAACTGACTAACACAGCTCCCAAAATCTTTTATTTTGTAATCCTAAGGGAGATGGACCAGTCAGATCCATCCTGTGAAGATGTATCGAGCACCTGTGAACACGACAGTGAGTGAGCACAGATTCTGGCCATGGCAGAGCTCTGGTAGGCAGCTACACTACTGTGAAAGTACTGGCAAGGAATGAACAGGGGCTGTGTACCCCCACGGGGGCATTTCAAAAGAGTGTACTTTTGGTCAAGTGCCTTTCCCAAGCTTCCTGGGGCCACTGCTATGCACTAAGCGTGACCATGGCGGCTTACTCATAGTGATGGCATTTAGCATCACCAAGCCTTAGCTGTCTTCTGTCAAATGGAGGTGAGGACCATGTTCCTGTGTGTCATCATGGTAAAAGGATGCGAGGCAGTCAAGTCCACCTGATGCTTGAAAAGCACTGAATGAAGGTCAAGCTCAGCAACTGGTGGACCTGCAGGGGTGACCAGTAGGTCTTGCCCAGTGGGACGTTGCAGAGCTGTGTGCTCTTGTCAGCAAACTAGAAATGCCTTTGCTATAGTTTGGTTGTAAGTGTCCCACAGAGGCCCATGTGTTAAAGTCCTGGTCCTCAGCTGGTGGTACTACTGAAGATTGGGGGTACCTTTGGAGGTGGGGCCTCGTGGGAGGAAGTGAGGTCACTGCCCTTCAAGGGAATCTTGCTTTCCAGCTGCTATGAGGTGAACAGGCCCTTCAACCATGCGCTCCTGCCATGGTGTACTGTGTCACTGCATGCCCCAAGTGACAGAGCCAAGCAACCATGGACTGAAACCTCTGAACCCATGAGTCAAATTCCTTCCTTCCTTTTAAGTTGATTACCTTAGGCATCAGAGTGATGAAAAACTGACTAACATGGCCTAGACCTTTCTGAGCTGTTTCCTTGATCAGGTATCCCCGAACCATTTACATAAAAGAGGGTTGGTTGAAAGCACAGATCAGACTAATGGGAGGGGCCCTGAGGAAGGTAGGACCAGAGCTCCAGCATCAGTCTCCCAGGCCTTCCTCTTCCCTTTCTGGCCATGGGAAGGGCATCCTTTCCTCGATGTACAGAATTTTAACTAAAATTACTTTCCATTATACAACAGCCACATCACAGAAGGTTAAGAGAATAGAAGAAAATGAAAACAAAAGAATCTCTGGTTTGTGTTTTTCTTAATTCTAAAAGTACTATCACCCTGGTGCATTTCTTTCCAGAATAACGTTTTTGGAAAAGGGAGTGACTATAACCAAGTGGCTCAGACAATCTTGGGTCCCCTTTTACTTGTATGACTTTAGTCTGAGTTCTTGTACCAGGCCTCACCTCCCTGTACTGTCCCCTCCTGCCTCCCTCCTGGCTTCTGGCTGCAGGCAACTGAGGATGAGGCCCACTTGGGGGAGCAACGTTTCCAAGGTGAGATTCCAGGGGTCAGGTGACATGGCAAAGCCGCACTGGGGAGTCACTGGGGCTTCAGTCCCTCTCTGTATAATCAGACCCTGGGGGGTTTCAGCAGAAGTGATTTAATTGACACTTATGTGACCCCATGAATGTGAAGAGGGGCAGAATATGGGCCTTATCTTCTTGAGAAGGGTGTCACTTCTTCCTGGAGAGCTTCCAGGAGGTGGTGACTGGTTGGTGATAGAATTTAGAGCAGAGATGGACAAGAGGCTTTGGAGAGTGGATGGAAAGGGCTGGTGACTTTTTTTTTTCTGTACTGGGGATGAACCCAGAGCTTCATGCTTGTTAGGCAAGTGCTCTACCACTGAGCCACACCCCAGCCCTCTGGTTTCTATGGGGCAAAATAGAGTTCCTATTTTTATTTATTTATTTATTTAGGCTGTGCTGGGGTTTGAACTCAGGTCTCACGTTTGCTAGGTAGATGCTCTACCACTTGAGCCAATCCATCAGTCCCCAGAGTTGCAAGTTTTTGAGGGAGCTTCCAAATTGGGGAAGGTGGTAAGTGTGGGCCTGGGGCACTTCTGACCTTGATGTGGATGTATCCCTGCTTATGGAAGGTTCTATCAAAGCTTCAGGGCCTTGATCCTGCTGATGGAGGAGTTCTGATCTCTAGCCTGCCCCCTCCCCACTATGGCAGCCAATGCCCAGCCTGGGCCAATGTCTCTAGTTTGTAGAGACCCTGTGTGGCCTCAGAAATCTCTCTGCAGAGGGAGTCCATGTGGAAGGAACCTTGCCTCTCTGCCTTTGTCCCTTCCAGCCCCTCTGCCTTCTTTCCTCCTTTACTCAGCACCAAAGCCTCCCTGTCCAAAGCTTTCCCAGTCCTGTCTCCTCTCTTATTGGGCATGCAGACCTAGAGGAGGGGCACTGGCTTGCGCTCAGACTGGACCCAGGCATCCTAATTAACCCAGTGCTCTTCTCACTGCCCTAGTGGGGCCAGACCCCAAGTAGACATTGACTGGACTGTGGCTGTCAGGGAGGGTGACTGTCCTTTTGGAAGACTGGCCGTTAGGCAGGGCCCATGACCTCTTCTCCCCAGCACCTCACCCATCTCCAAGAGTCAGCAATTTCCCCAGCCTGTTATAGCCCAGCTTGCCTTGTTCATTTGTTATAGCATCTCCCTCCACTCAGCACACTTTGATTGCTTGTGCCTGACCTCTCAGAGTCATCAGGATAGACGAGTTGGTGGCTGTGAAGTTGCTGCTGAGGTGAGAGTCCAGTGCACCTGGGAGAGCAAGTTACTCAGCATTTATGTGCTTCAGTTTCCTAGCTTTGTTTTTTATTAGTTGTCAGAGAAATAAATAAATTAAGGCACAATTTGACCCTGCCTGGCAGAGTACCTGATTAGGAACTGCTGGCTATTGCTATGGTTTGGATCTGCAATGTCCCCCAAAAGCCTATATGTTAAAGGCTTGGTCACCAGTGTGGTGCTATTGGAAGATGATGAAAACTTTCAGGGGGTGGTGGCAGTGGGAGGTCTTTAGGTCAGTGGGCCCATGCCCTTGAAGGGGATTTTGGGTCTGTCTCTCTCTCACTTCTCCACCTTGAGATCACTGGCTTGCTCTACCATACACATCCGCTATGGTGTGCTGCCTCACCACAGGCCCAAAGCAAGGACAGAAACCTCCAAAACTGAGCCCAAACAAAACTTTCTATTTGTTCCGGTAACTGAAAACTGAGTGATGTGGCTGCTGTTGGGATGGAGGCTGTTGCCCAGTGCCTTCCCCAACAGGAAGCTAGCTCCAAAGGTGGTTTGCATCCCAGCTCAGTTACTGACCTGATGAGTGAGTTTGGCAGGTTGCTTAACCTCTTTGAGCTTCAGAGTTGCAATTTCTTATTGGTATGAAGAATAGAGACAAATTTTTCTTCAAATTATTCATCAATCTATGTCCCACCATTATTCATCTACCCATCCACCTATCTATCCATCCATTTATGTAACCATCTACCTGTCCACCCACCCACCTATTTATCTCCATTCATCCATACATCTACCTACCTGTTTATCTATCCATTTGTCCTCTATCCATCCATCTACCTACCCCTCCATCTATCTATCTATCTACCTATCCATCTATCCATTTATCTATATTCATCCATACATCTACCTACCTGTTTTTCTGTCCATTTGTCCACACATCCATCCATTCTCCTTTCTACTTATTCATCTAGCCAAACAAACAAATTTTATTGAGCACCCACTTTGTTTTAGGCACCTCTTTGGCAGTACTTAGCACAATACCTGGACATGGTAGGTTCTCAGTGGTGGTAATTATTTGTTCAAATGCTCTGAAGTCCATATGAAAATATATCTCAGAAATTTTGCTGACTTCCCAGGTCACAAACAAAAAATTCTCTGGCCAACCTCATCATAGTACTTGTGTGTGTGTCAGTCTGAACTGAAAAGATGGATGGAATCCTCCTTCCTCTCCTTTTCTACTCACAGTAATAATCCTTTCCCCGGGATCTTTCTGTTGTGTTTTCACAGAGGCCACTGGTCTTACCTCCAGGATTGCCTTTGAGTGCTGCCTATGGGGCAACTGATGTGTTTTCTGAGAATCAGAAGCATGCTGTTGAGGGCTACCTGTACTAGGGGAGGCAGCTGCTCCCCTGACTTAGATTTGTGTGTTGAGAGAGCTTTGGCCATAATGCACTAGTTTGGGGAGATATTTATAAGAGCCAGCTCAGGCAGCTCTAGGCAACTGTGCCAGTGTATCAGTGGCTTTCTTATTTCCTTTCCAGAAGCAGACAGGAGATGGCTTTTTCCTTTGAGAGTCGGGGCTGGGGGACAGATCCATTGGCTGAGCCTTAGGGCTACATGTGTACCTGGAGAGAGGGGCAGGAGGGTGGGAAGAGACCAGATGTTGCTCATTCAGTTGGTGTCCCCTTCTC